CAACTTGAGCCCCGCAGAAGCCCCCCGTCCCCGGCCCAGAAACTACCCCACCCCCTCGCACACGCACGCAGCCCACCTAAACCCCCACCCACCCACACAACATACACGATGCAGACCCCCAACACAGAGCCTGGATTGCGGCATCAGAAACAAGGCCCCCCCAGGCCCCCAAAGGCCCGCATCCTCGCCTCGTCAATGAACGCCACGTTTGCCTCTGGCAGGTAGCCCCGCGTCTGCCTAACGTACTTGTCCTCCTCTAGGGCACGCATGCTCAGGGGGCCAAACAGCTCCTGAGAAGTTTGGTGTGTGTGTGTGTGTGCGCGCGCGCGCGTGTGTGTGTGTGTGTGTGTGTGTGATTGGGCGCACGCGTGTGCGTGTGCATGTGTGTGTGTGTGAGTGTGTGCATGTGCACATCTGTGTTTTTTCACAGCAGGGAGAGGGTGATGCATCGACTGGCAGCGCATGTGAGCAGGCACATCGTCAAGCCACACGGTGTGTCCAGCACGCCCCCCCCACATCGCGGCCAAAAAGACGAGCTTCGTTCGGCTCCGCGCCGCCGGCGCGGCCACCACCCAGACGCGCGCGAGCGGCCATGCCCCCCGCCCACCTCTGGCACCGAGAACCTCGTCAGCAGCCGCTCAAAGTACTGCCCCTCGATCAGCCCGCTCAGCCGCCGCCCGACCTCCGACTTGGCTGTGCCTGGCGGCCCGATGAACAGCACGTGCTCGCCCGCCAGCGCTGCCAGCACCAGTAGCCGCACCTCCGTGTCCCTCTCCACCAGCCCCTCTTGCATCACCTGCGCGCGGCAGGCCCGGCGGGCGAGGGGGGCGGAGCGGGGCGGCCTTGCGCGAGGGCTCCCGGCGGAGCACGGCGCGGTGCCTGAGCGGCGGCGCGGCTGGTACGACAGCGCGGCGTGTGTCACGGGGCAGCTGGTGCGGCCTGGGGTGGCAGCCTGTGTTTGTAGCAATTTAGATAATAAATCTAACTCCTCCGTTCCATGAAAGAAACTTTAAACATGTTGGTTTCTCTCACTCAAAGTTGCTGCTGAGCAGTGCTGTCGGCGCCGACGTGCAACAGCGTGCCCGCACGGCCGCACGTCCCCAACCTGGTTCCCACCGCCGCCCCGGCCGGGCGCCCCACCTTGATCGCGTGCTCGATCTTGCCGCGCAGCTTCCGCGTGTCCACCCCGCCCAGCGCGCTCCCGACGCCGCTGCCGCCGCCGCGCGCCGCGCGGTCCCTCTGCTGCCTTATGATCACATCCATAAAGTCCTGGGCCGCAGCCTTGAGGGACGAGAGCTGGGGATGGGGGGACAATCGCACAATAGGGGTTGCTCAGGGGCAGCAGGGCCGCGGTCGCGCCGCTGGCGAGGGGCTGGTGCGAGCAGAGGGGTGCTGACGCGCGGGAGCGGGCGGCTGGCATTATTAAATGATGGGGACGAGGTATGCGTTCGCAGGCGGCATACCGTTGAGCATTGAGCGACGTCTGGAGAGGCGGCGACCCCTGCGCTGCCGGGCCGCTTCCACCCCAACCTGCTGCGGTTGGGCCACCCCCGCGAAAAAAACGTCAGGGACAGCACGACTGTCTCACCTGCTGGTTCGCCAGCCTATCACGATTTGAGAAAAACTGCTGGACGTCATCTGCAGCGTCGGAGGCCCAGGCACATCGGTGAGGGGCCATGAGCAGCAACGCCTTGCGACCACCTCATGGGCGGCAGGTGCAGCACGCTTGCTGCGCCGCTGCAAAACGAGCTATTTGTGCGTGATGAGGCTGCCATTAAGCCCTCACCATTTGCTTTGGAGACAACCAGCTGCCTGCGAGCTCCAGGGGACCTGGCAAGCCGATTGGGAGGCGTTCAGGCCGAGTCCAAGCGTGATCTGGGCCTACGCGTGATGCATGCCAGTACGCACCTGCGTGGAGCCCCAAGGTTGCGCCGTGCATTGCTTGCGCCCTCGCCAGCACCCGCGCGCGGTGCCCCCAGGCGAGACGCCCCGTGGAGCTGCATCGTGGAACTGCAGTGCCTGTCGCAGGGCGTGATCAAACAAACAATAATATCGATTCAAAATTGGCTCAGGCTCTGCCTGATTGACAAACGTTGTCGGAAAATGGCGCGTTTCAACCCCGTCCACCCGCTCTGACAGGACGTCCACCCCTCGGTCAACAGCACACACCATGGTATCAGAGCTTGTATTATCATAGGGGTGGTTTGGAGATCCGTGCAGTAATACGTAGTGTTTCGTGTGCACAGTCATACGGTATCCTGGCGCTTGTGCATGTGGGCCTATTCGGCGGGGTGCATGTGCATCACGCCGTGGGGTGATGCCTATGCTCTAGCATGGGGCACGATCTGACTAGTCTGCACTGAAGGGCCACAGAGGCTGGCCGAGTCCCCAAGCGGTACTCTCCCTGTACGGGCGTGCAAAGCCAATCATGCCGGTGGTTGTCAACTGCACCCTTCTAATGGTCGCCTGACATGGCCCCGCGGACCCTGCACAGCCGCATTCGCTGCAGCCCTTAAAGCTGCAAAACTATCCTGCAATGACGTTGCCCTTGCAAAGTTTCCTGCCTGGTCAAAGCAACGTCCCAGCCTGCTGGTGCGGAAGAGGTCGTTTTCAGGAAGTGCAATGAGTGTACTGCGACACTGTGCAGCCCCTTGATCCTCAGGAGTTGCTGGGCACACTTGGCTTGCTGCACTGGGGGCCTGTGTTGGCCCACCAAGCAGCGAATACCGCCGTCACCAGGTTACGCTGCGCCAATAATCTTGGAGAATGTCGGAATCCTTTTGGTCCGCCATTAAGATTTCAATCATATCATTGATAAACAAAATGCTGCGCGCTCCGCCGGCCACGTCGAGATCGTCGCTGTTTCAAAGGCGCCGTGCTGTGGCTTGCAGCTGCCAAAGCGACAAGTCTCTGTTTGTATTTGGGCTTGGCTACACCACCCTGGGTCTGGTCCGGCAGGCAGAAGCCCAGCAGCAATGGTGCGTAGGCAGGTTCGCATCTGCCAAGTGGCCGGGCATGGGCGCAGCAGTGCCGCGCTCCTTGTCAATGTCCAAGCACGCCGTGCCTTATACGGCGCCCCGTAGGTTCCGAGTGGTGTCCACCAGCCGCAGGCCCGACAGGCTGCTGGCGTTCGAGACTCAGGCGCACTCCATCGTGCGGTTTGACCCTGCTGCTGACGGCGGCACTCTTGGGTGCGGCGCTCTCCTGCCCGCCTCGCATCTCATGGCTCGCCTGTCCAAAGCTTGTATGTCATGAGACAAAATCGACCTTGTAGAATGGACGTATTGTCTCAGCACCTGCCAGCAAGCGTTCAGCACAATTCTGGCCCCTATTGTTGCTCGCATCACTCATTTCCTTGCTTTTGCCCTGCTGCCCTGCCTGCTTCGCCCCGGTGCGCGCTGAGCACTGGGGGGTGCCTGAGCCCGCACCCTGCAACGCGCACGCTCTGCGTCTATTGCTGCCCCACATGCCCAAGCCCAGAACAGTTGTTTTGCAGCCCTTCACAGTCCGCCTTTCCCTGCTCGATCCGCCCCAACCCGAACCGTGCTCAACGCAGGCCCGAGGCGATGGATGCGCTGATGTCAGCCACCCACGTGGTGACCTCCGTACCGCCCGCCGGGTTACCCCTGTACGACCCCGTGACCCGCTCGCAGCTGAGGCTGCTACGGCGGCGCGCCGAGGCGGCGGCGGCTGGCGACGCGCCGTGGCTGCAGTGGCTGGGTGTGTTGAGCAGCACAAGTGTTTACGGCGACCACGGTGGCGATTGGGTTGACGAGAGGTGCGGGCGCCAGAGCAACGGGGCCACGCCCAACCTGGGTGGCAAGTACCTGGGGGGATGAGCACAGAATCAGCCAAAAAATGCACAAATTAGCTGGATACTCTAGCCCAGCGCGGGACTGACATTTGTACAGCTGAACAGCCAAGCCAGCAGTTGCCTCGGTCCACGACAAGCGGTGTGGCCCCGCGCGCCGGCGCTGCGCCGCCGCAGCTCTCCGACGCGACCGAGCAGCCGGGGGCTCGTGCGGCTGGAGCACGAGCGCGCATGGGAGGCGCTGGCCGCGGCGGAGGGGCTGCCGCTCAACATCTTCCGCCTTGGTGGTGAGGCCCCGGGCGTTCGAGGGTGCGGATGCGCGATACGGCGGGCCGTGCCACGTGCGCCCTGGAGAGCGACGGCCTTGCGGCTGCTCAAGTGCGCAATAGTCGCAACGCAAGCCCCGTCGCTGGCTGCCCCCTTCACCCAGATTGCACCTCTGCTCGTCTCACCCAGTCACTTGGACCTGTACACACGCAAAACCCCGCGCCGCCGGGCCCGCTAAACCCCAAACCCGCCGCCAGGCATATACGGCCCGGGCCGCAGCGTGCTGGACTCTGTGGCGCGCGACGCGGCTGACCTCAGCGGCGCTCAGAAGCGGCGCGGGCGGCAGCGCTACGTGTCGCGGTGCCACGTCGGGGACATCGCGTCCGTGCTGCTCGCGAGCATGGATGCGGCGGGCGGCGGCGTCACCGCCGGCAGCGGCAGGGATGATGATGAACGCAGCAGCAGCGGCGGCGGCGGCGGCCACGGCGGCGGCAGGAGCAGTGGTAGCAGCAGCAAAGGGCTGGTGTCAGGCGCAGGCGGCAGCACTGGAGGCAGCTGGGCCGCTCAGATATTCAACATCGCCGATGACGAGCCGGCCGGGCGGGACGAGGTCGAGGCGTACGCGCGGCAGCTGCTCAGCCTCCCGCCGGCCCCGGCGCCTGAGATGCCGCTCGAAAGCGGCGCGCGGAAGCTCCAGCAGGCCGGCACAGACGACGGCGGAGGCGGAGGCGGAGGTGGCGGCGGCGGCGGCGGCGGCGGCGGCGGCGGCGTGGGGCTAGAGGAGAAGCGCGTGTTGAATGAGAAGGTCAAGGCGGTGCTGGGGGTGCGGCTGCGGTACCCCACATACATGGAGGGCCTCGCCGCCATCGCAGCCGGTGACGCCTTCCCGTTCCGCGATCTCGCGGACGTGCGCGCCCTCAAGGGCTAACAGCTCTCGGCGGAGCTGCCCTTGATAATGCTTGGAGGCTGCCATGCTGTCCTGCGGAGCGCACGGCGGGCCGCAAGCACGCCGCAAGCGCCAAATTGCCGAATTTCCTTGGAGCGCTCTGCCGGCGTGTGTGGTACGCTCGGAATATTTGTGAATGATTGACAAAGCCGCTGCGCATGCTGCAGAGCAGCCACAAGCCCTGCGCAGCGTGTTTGGCATGCGCACGGCGGCGCACGCCCCAGTTTTTGCGGACAGTGGCAGCCATGGCGGGCTGGGCATGGTCGGCGGCGGCGGCGCGCCGCGGCGCACACAGAGCGGACTGCGTTGCTGCTATGTATCTCGCTTGACTGTGATTGGTCGCAAATGCGCTTCGAAGCTGCTGATCCCGGTGCACGGGGCCGTCAACCACGTTTGACCAGCCGTCTGCGGAGGGCTCGGCCTTCTTGTGCCACGCCATGTGATCGATGGTAATCACGTATCATAATCCACACCCCTACGGCGCGTGAAGGCGCGGAAGAACGAGATTGTTATCGGTAGAGCACCTGCCGGGTGGCCCATCGCGCTCTTTGCGCGCAAATGCGTCTAAATATGAGCCTACATATCGCGGATGGGTGAAGCACGCGTCCCGGCAGGGCGCCCATGCCGCGCGCGGCCGCCTGCCCCGCCCCTCCTGGCGCCACAGCAAGCAGGCCGGAGTGTCCGCAAAAACTGGGGCGTGCGCAGCCGTGCGCCCGGGGTACGGCGCTCCCAGGGCCATGGCGCTGCCGCACAGCACTTGTGATGGCTTTTATAATTATTTTGACGTTTTTCAGCGCGTCACATGTTGCATACAAGGACGGTGCGCAAGAGTGTACGCGCCCTGCGGCGGGACCGCAGCGTGCTGCGGTCTGCACCCCACACGCGCGGCGGTCGCGGCCGGCAGGTGACCCGCGCCCCTGCACACCACCCAGCGCCTGGGATGCCGCGCAGCTGTTCTGGGGAGCGCACGGCGGTAGGCAAGCACGCCGCAAGCGCCATATTGCCGATTTCCTTGGAGCGCTCTGCCGGCGTGTGTGGTACGCTCGGAAAATGTGTAAATGATTATCAAAGCCGCTGCACGTGCCACGGAGCAGCCACAAGCCCTGCGCAGCGTGTTCGGCGTGCGCACGGCGGCGCACGCCCCAGTTTTTGCGGACAGTGGCAGCCATGGCGGGCTGGGCATGGCCGGCGGCGGCAGCGTGCCACGGCGCACAGGGCGGACTGCTTTGCTTTCAGGCATCTGGCATGACCGTAAGTGGTCGCAAAAGGCGCTTCGCAGCTGCCAATCCCAGTGCACGGGGCCGTCGACCAAGTTGACCAGCCGTATGGCAAGGGCACTGCCTGCCTGAACTCGCGCTATGTGATCGATGGCACTCCAGTATCACAAATTGCACCCGTACGGCGCGTGAAGGCGCGGACGTTAGAGATCGTCTTCGGTAGAGCACCTGCCGTGGAGCCCATCGCGTTCTTTCCCCCGCAAACGCGTCTTTGTGTCGACCTACGTATCGAGAATCGGCTAAGCACGCGGCCTGGCAGCGCTCCGCGCGTCCACCCGGCCCGCCCCTGGCGCCACAGCCAGCAGGCCCGATCGTCCGCAAAAACTGGGGCGGACGCAGCCGTGCGTCAAGGAGACGGCGCTCCCGGGGCCAGGGCACTAATGCGCAGCACTTGTGGTGGCTTTCATAATTATTTATGCCGTTTTTAGCGCCTCGCACGGTACATATAATGACCTTGCTCAAGAGTGTGCGCGGGCCCTGCAGCTGGACGGCAGCGTGCTGCGATCTGCATCCCGCACGCGCGGCGGTCGAGGGCGGCGGATGGGCGATGCCCCTGCACAGCACCATGTGCCTGAAACGCTGGGCGGCTGTCTTGCGGAGCGCACGGCAGGCCGCAAGCACGCCGCAAGCGCCAAACCACTACATTGCCTTAGGGCGCTCTGCCGGCGTGTGTGATATGCTCAGACATGGTGTAAACAATTTTCAAAGCCGCTGCGCATGCCGCGGAGCAGCCACAAGCCCTGCGCAGCGTGTTCGGCACGCGCACGGCGGCGTCCGCCCCAGTTTTTGCGGACAATGCGGCAGCCAAAGCAGTGGTGGACTGAACGCGGCCGGCGGCGGCGGCGCGCCGCAACGCGCAGCGGACTGGATTGCTCTTAGTCATCTCGCATGACTGTAGGTGGTCCCAAAAGCCGCTTCGAAGCTGCCAACCCCGGTGCACGGGGCCGTCAATGAAGCAAGTTGACCAGCCGTCTGCCAAGAGCACTGCCTCCCTGTGCCCGCGCCATGTGATAGGCTTGTAAGCGAGTACAGTATTATAAAACGCACCCCTAAGGCGCGTGAAGTCGCGGGTAAACGAGCTCGTCTTTGGTAGAGCACCTGCCGTGGAGCCCATCGCGCTCTTTCCCCCGCAAACGCGTTTTTTTGTTCAACTACGTACCACGGGCGGGTCGGCGAAGCACGCGGCCTGGCAAGGCGCCCGCGCTCCGCGCTCCGCGCGCCCGCCCGCCTCGCCCCTGGCGCCTTGGGCAGGCCCGATTGTGAGCAAGAACTAGGGCGGACGCCGCTGCGGCAGCCGTGCGCCTGGGGGACGGCGCTCCAAGAGCCATGACGCTGCTGCAAAGTAGTTGTGATGGCTTTCATCAACTTTTCTGGCCTTTTATCAGCACGCCACGGGCTGGCCTTTTTTCAGCACGCCACATGTTACATACAAGGACCGCGCGCATGACTGTCCGCGCGTCCTGCGGCCGGACCGCAGCGTGCTGCAACCTACATCCAGCACGCAAGTTCCCATCCCAAAGCGCCACATGAAGAATGCGCACAAAACAAGGCCTGGTATTCACCACTTCGCGATCGCGGTCAAGTCCTGCCAATGTCAAAGCACCTCACACGTCAGATCAGCGTCAAGACTCAGGAAACATCCCTGATCAAACAGCTGACCCCAGCAGCAAAGCCGCCACCCCAAGCGTCAAGGAGCGGGTCAGTTTTGAAGTGATGCACTAGTCCTTGCGGCTGACAGCACCCATTCAGACCAGGAGCCACACACATACACACATGCGCATGTGTGTACCGTATGTGTGTGCATGCACCACCTGCATCCCGTCGACACAATCTGAAAATGTTGTTGTTGGCTGGTCGACACACGCGTCACAACCTCTCATGCAAGGGAAGATATGCGCTGGAAACATACGGCAGACTTCAAAGCGCCGACAGTCAAGCCACAAAACTACGTAGGCCCAGGGTGAGGCAGAGGTGGACAGCAATCAAATCAGCTTGATGCAAAGCTCGTGGGAGACGCCCGCCTCAAGCCAGAAACTATGTCCGGGCCCCACGCCAGCCTTGCAGCGCCCTCCCGCGCCGGAACCAGGCGTTCCGGCCAGCACGATGACGAGTGCAACCTACACGCGTGCACACCCCGTGCGTGGCCTCGTCACGTTGCTTGGTGCAAGAGCCCGCGCGACAAGCAGGCGCCTAGGCCTCGTCCTCCGCATCGTATGAGGGGTCGATGGCCCCGACCATCAGCTTCAGCAGCCAGGCCTCAACAGACAGCGTCACACCCTTGCGCGCGTACTGTGTGTGTGGGGGGGCGCGCGGGTAGGGGGCGTGAAGGGGGTGAGACAGGGGCCGGTTGGAGGGGTGGGATGAGGAGCTGATCACCTCAGGGGGTCAGCTGGCGGGTCAGCTGGCGCTCCCATGGGTGACAAGGGGTTTGAAGACAGCGGTTGCAAAAATGCACCACACTTTACGCTGTGCCTGCAGGCGTGCGTGCGTGCATGTAGGGACGCATACGCACGCAGCAGGTGCCCCGCATGCCATGCTTCTGCATGACCAACCCAGGTCCCCAGCAACCCGCAGCACCATGCGGAATGGATACTTTTGTTCAACCCCATGCTCCCCACCTCCTCGGCCTCCTGCTCAAAGTAGCTTGTGCAGTCGATGACATCACCAGCTCCGGGGTCCTTGTCCAGCTTGCCCAAAAACGCCTGGGCGCGCGAGTCGCGGCCCACCTACCAGGATTGGCAACAGAGAATGCCAAGGATGCATGGGGGTGATTAGAAAGCAGCTAAACAATTCCTCATATTCTTCAACTTTGCTAAAAGATCAGGCTGAAGACGTAAGCGTGCAACTCACACCCACAATTTGGTCTGTTGCAAGCCCCTTCACCACCTTGGCTGTAACGAAAAAAGAATATGCGGCCCGCCCGACCCGCCAGCCGAACAGCCGTCACTCACCCCGCCACGCCCTACCCCGCCGTGCCCCGCCCTGCCGTGCCCCGCCCCGCCCACCTGAGCAAACTGGAACGCGACGGCCTTTGGCCCATAGGCCTGCGCCAGGCGGCCCTTCACGTCGCGGATCAGAGACAGGATCGCGTCCTTGGGGGTATCTGTCGGCTCGCCGTCGGTGATGGATATAACGAGCACCGGCTTGGCCAGCTGGCCGCGCTGTGCCATGGACAGCACGACCGGGTTGATCACGCGCGTCGCCATGCTGGCCGCCAGGGGGGTCGTGCCGCCGAAGGTGACCTGGGGCCAGTGATTCGGTGATGGAGGGGGCTCACAGCTCAGTGCCGACAGTAATGACTGACAGCTTTTGAGGCCATGGCCTCATACGGACCTGTCAAAGTAATGGTTTTGCACCAAAAGCTTTTGCCACATGGCATGACACAGTGGTGCGGGCGTATGCCCAGGGCCAGCCACGCATGCGTGCGCCATGCGACCCCCCCGGGCGGGCAGCGGCACACAGGCCGTGCTGAGCAACATCGTCGCACCTTGCTGAGCAGCGCGGACGCGTCTGCGGCGCTGCGTATGCCGTTGCCCTCCACTGGCGAGTTCATGAAGCGCACCAGGATGCCGTCGTCGTCAAACAGCGTGGCCACCTTGAGGGGGCGACGATTGGATGGGGTGCAATGTAATACAGAGCGCCCCGTTGCAGATGCTACACACAAAAGACGAGGGCTGGCCCCAAGACTGCTGCTCTGGGCGCGGGGATTTGGCATACTTAGGGCTGCAGGGAAACGCATACGGGGGCGAGCCGAGGCGAGCCGGCAGAGCTCGGGCATGCGTAGCTTGAAGGCGGAAAGCAGGTGGGCGCATGAAAAGAGGGCGCGTGTGCGCGCCGCCCGCACCTCCGCGACGCGTCCAAGGATGAGCTTCAGATCTTCGATGCGCTCGCCATTGTCCTGGGGAAGCAGAGCCAAGGGCGAGGAGGAGGCAGGGGTGCTAGCCACGCAAGTAGGCTGATGTCTGTCTGGAACTAAAGGCTGGTGCAAAACACTGCCAGCTCCCTACGAACGCACCACCACCATGTAGCCCAAGGCAACCCTTCAAACAAACCTTCCTGACCCCCCTTTGCACACACGTGCCGTCCAAGGTCCCGAGTGGGGGGAGCAAAAAGATCTTTTGGGCCTGCTGGCGGCGGCGCACCTCAAAGGCCATGGAGCCTGAGTCATCAGCGTAGAGCACAATGTCATACAGCGCCAGCGCGGCAAAATCCAGCGCCAGCTCGACGGGCATGCGCCACCTAGTGGGGCGGGGGGATCAGGGGGATGGGCAAACGGTGCCTGGACTGCCGTTTGGAGGCGAAGGGACGGGGTAGTCGCGGGCACCACGTGCATGCACGTGCAAAGGGCCTCCATGCAGCCTGCATGGCGCATCTGACAGGTTCATGCATGTGAGAGCATGCGCCATGCAGGTGCATGCATGCATGATGCACTGAGGCATGCGGGTGCACGCGCCATGCGTGCGCATGCACGCATGCCGTGACCAGGCAACTGCATGCGCGCGGGTGCATGTTGGCAGCAACGCGCGCACACACGCAGTTGACAGCACTACTGGCCCCACCTGGCGGCGAGGCCGTGGAAATCGACGCGTGCCACGCGCTGCGCCACGGCCTCCAGCTGCTGCGGCGGGTAGAAGCGCTGCAGCCCGTTGACCTGCGCCGGCAGGGGGTGAGCCGCGGGGGAGGACGGGATCAGGGACTGAGCGCTGGTGCATGCGGCTGGGAGGGATGGGTCGTGTGTCTTCAGGGCGAGGCCTGGCATCGACGCTGCGTGAACCGCGATGAATGGCCTGGCCCCACAACGCGTGTGTGCTGCAATGACCATAGCCGCCGGGATTTGCAGACAACGCATGGGCAGGAAGAAGAGGCCAGCGGCGGCAAATCATCAAGCTAAGAGGCGATAGCAAGTGGAGTGCGCGGCACTCCCCACCTGCACAATCTTCTGGAGACGGGCGAGAATTGAGGGAGCGCTCAAGCCGCCACCAGAGGCGCCCCCCATGCCAGCGGGGCCACCAGGGTAGCCCTGCTGTTGAGGCTGGGGCGCGCCGGGGTAGCCCTGCTGTTGCCCCGGAGGAGCGCCAGGGTAGCCCTGCTGCTGGCCCGGAGCGGCGCCAGGGTACCCCTGCTGCTGGGGCGGGGGTGCGCCGGGGTAGCCCTGCTGGTGGGGAGGAGCACCAGGGTAGCCCTGCTGCTGAGCTGGATTGGCACCAGGGTAGCCCTGCTGCTGCCCCGGGGGGCCGCCGGGGTAACCCTGCTGCTGAGGAGGAGCAGCGCCGGGGTAGCCCTGCTGGGGCGCAAGGGGCGCCGACGGGTTGGCTGCGTTGGCGCCATAGGCGAAGCTGGTGGGGTGCTGGGGGTAGGGCGAATGCCCGGCCTGCTGCTGGGGCAAGATGCCGCCCTGCTGGGGCGGGTAGCTGCCTGCAGGCCCGTTCTGGGGGATGCCATATTGCTGCTGCTGCGCTTGGGCCGGCGGGTAGCCCTGCTGTGCCTGCGCAGGGGGATAGCCCTGCTGGGACGCCTGCTGGGGTGGGTAGCCCTGAGGCTGCGCAGAGTACTGCTGCCCGGCCGCGGGCGGGGGCGCCCCATAGGAGTGACCGCCGCCGCCCGGTGCGGCAGAGGCGGCGGCGAGCTTGCTGGCGAGGCCCATTCTGTTGTGCGTGGACGCGCCGCGGTGACTGGACCGACCGCCAATGGACGCACGAGGCGGGAGGCGGGAGGCGGGGGCGGGGAGGTAGCGGGATAAACGACGACCTGGATCTGGCCTTAGATATGTCCCAAAGTCGTGGAAGAAGCCGTGCGAAGCGCTGGTAAGTCTGCCTTCAGACAGACGCGAATAATATGATTCGAGTTGCACACCTGCGGGAGCTGTGATGCTGATGATATGAAAGCTTTCAGAATTACAATTGTAAGACCAAAATTGTGGCGCACTGCGGATATCAAGGGTACAGCTCGCCATATCCGCAGCGCAGCTGCCTAGGAGGCGCATATGCATCTAGGATGCGGTGGGCAGTGAAGGCCGCCACACTTGCATGCAGAAGCCGGCGTCTAGATGCAGCGTGTAGCCACGGCCAACGGAAATCATGCACCATATTACAAAGCGGAACAGTTGCATAATTCCGTGGTCGTGACATGCCGCAGGTCTGTCGCACGTTGCAGGTGCGCCGCCCTGAGATATGACAGCTTGACAGGTCGTCGACACCCCATCGCGAGGCATTGCACAATGTCCTGTCCATATCTGCAATTGCAACATTAAGTTTATGTATTGACATCCTGGACAGCTCTGGACGTGCACCCCGGGTGTTTGGGCGCAGCAGCTTGTGGCAAAACCTTGTGATGATGCGAGTGCTGATGCCGCAACCATAACTTCTGGCAAGACGTGATGCCAGTATCAGAACATGTGAAATTACAGATGACAATTTTTTGTTCAGAGTTGCGCGGGGGCTGCACCTGTGGTGTGCAGGACAAGGGAGAGGCTGCTGCACAGCAAGAAATTCTGCAGAAGAAGCCCACAGCTTGACGCGTGTTGAAACACAAGTGCAATAGCCTGATGTTGTGTACGGTATTACATCATCCTACAACAGAACGACAGTGATGAAAACCCGCTCGCGGCCCGTTACGGTGAGTACACCTGACGCGCGGGCGGCCAGCTCGCGGAATAGGGAGCAGGACATATAAATGTGTTAGATATGCATCGTTTTAACGCGGCTGTATTGCTTCTGCTAGCTGCCCTGATGATCCCCCGCAAAATGTGCAATGGTCGGTGTGTCAAATCTTGGGTACCGGTACGGCGACCACTGGTGCATTTGCTTTGCTGCCATGTGCATGACCCATGCCTCTGATGCTTGCATAGATGCACCACCTGCGTAGGTACATTACTAGCTTCGCAGGCCGGCGCCCTTAGGTTGTTGAAACTGTCCTGGATGCGAAGCGCTGACGAGGGTTCAGATATCGAAAAGAAGCTCGTCATGGGATCCATCCAGGTGTCTCTAGCAGCAGGCGCCCTGCCCTATGATTACCACCAGAGCACGTTGCCACAAAAAAAAACTTGTATGCAGTGAGAGGTGATAGGCACTAGCGCTCTGTGCTGGTGCACGGGTGTGAGGCTGGGGCCGTGCGTGAGGAGGGAAGCTGTGTGCACCGGCACCATAGCATGACACACAACAGGCCTCACGCCTGCGGCAGTGCTGCCAATCGAGCCGGCGTTGTTGCATAAGGCATGAAGGGTGGGGGCATCCTCGCCGCCCGGTTTGTTCAAGGTGCATCCGTCGGGCTTGTGGGTTGAGCGGCGTGAGTCATGACACTGGAACGTCCAGGCAATCGCGCATGCATTTGGGTCACGGCAAGCGTCAAGGGGATGCCACCCCAAGGCAAAGCCTGCTCGGCACGAAGGGGAGCGGTTGACCAAGGAAGCAACACTGAAGTTACTGCTGGCTGGGCGAATCAAGGGCCTGGTGATGTGATGTATGAGGTACTGGTGGGGCAAACGTGTGGGACCTGTTGGAAATATGTATTGATGCCAAAGCGGCAAATCGCCGCGACGAACTTATTCCTAAATTGAGCAATACCCCAGGTTCCCACCCGCGGCGTTCGTGCGGCCGCTGCGGCTGCCGCCGCTGTTATGGCAACCAACGTCAACACCAATACCCCCTCCCCCTGGTGTGCTGGATGTTGCTGCGTGTGAAATGGGCTAAAAGCTGGCGGCCCCCGAGCAGGGGTTGGCCGCCACAACCATCGCATCAAAGAACGGCCCGTCCCCCTCCCCCGCGCCGTGCGCACCCAGCGCCGCCGCGCCGCTGAGGGCCGCCGCGGCGCCCGCGCCCAGCCGGACTGAGGGCCCGGTCCTTATTGTCCCTGCGCTGCTCGGGTCATTGGAATTCCAGCAGTCGGAGCCGGAGGCGGGGGCCGGCTGCGGCGGCGGCGCGCCCCACGCGTCGGCCCCGAAGAGGCCGCCGCCGCCGTCTATTTCTGAGCGGTCGGTCGCGCTCCACCCGCTGCTACCGCTGCTGCTGTTTGGGGAGGGCGGCCCCAGGGCCGCCGCGAGCGCGTCGGGCGGTGCAGAGGCCCGCGCAAACGGGCTCAGGCGGCTAAGTGAGGGGCCGCGCGTCGACAGCTGCGCCGCCTCCGCCTCTGTATCCTCCTCCTCCGCCGCAGCCGCCGCCGCCGCCGCCACGGCTGCCGCGGCGGCAGCAGCAGCGGCCGCAGGCGCGCTCCGGGCCCGCTCCGCGGGCCGCGCGCCGTCCGCCTCCGCACTGCGCGGCGGAGCGCGCCTGGGCCAGGACGCGGCGCCATCGCCGCTCAAGGGGCCGAAGGGCGCCGAGGGGGCGCCCTCGCGGGCGACGGCCCTGAGCCGCTCGGCCACCACTGTAAACGTCGGGCGCGCGCCTGGGTCCGCCGCCCAGCAGTCCTGGAGCCGGTCAACGAAGACAGAGCAAAGGGGTACAATGTGCAGTGTGCAATTAAGTGTGTTTGTGTGTATGTGTATGTGTGCGTGCGTATGTATGTGTGTGTGTGTGTGTGTGTTTGTGTGTGTGTGAGTGTGTGTGTGTGTGTGTGTGTGTGTGTAAAGGGCGGCGGTGGCGGTCAGGACTGAAGCACTGCACTGCCCTGGCCAGCCCGCCTTCCACAGTGTCTCGTGCGGCTCATCGAGCTTCACAGCGCAGGCATCTCTTGGCGGGAGCCGGGCTCCCGGGTGCAGAATGCACCACCCTCGGCTGCAGGATGCACAATCCTTAGCGCCGCCCCGTCACTCACGCATCCCGTCCCAACCCTCTCCCGCCCCGCACGCCCCTCCTTCCCCAGTGCAACCACGCGCATTTCGCGCGGGTGCAGTCTCGGCGCCAGCGTGCCTCTCAGCGCATGGCCTGGAGCAATGTGCTGCGATGCTGCTGCGCGACCTCTGGTTGCCCCCACCCGCCCCCTGACCTCCATTAGGGCCCTGTAGAGCTCCAGCGCCCGCCCCCCCGGCGCCCCGGGCAGCTCCCCGTCCGGCGGCAGCGCCGGCCGCCGCCCTTGGGACACCACGGCCGTGCGCACCTGCCGCGGCGCGCGCACGTGAGAGTGGGCAGCAGCAGGGGCCGTAGCAGCCTTGGGCGGCCAACGTGCGGCGGGCACCCCTTTCCATTGACTCAGGAAAAGCTGCAATAGGTGAAACACGCCCGGGTTCATTCCTGTTGACCCTCCTGTTTCAAAGTCTCCACGAAAAGATTGGGGACTCGCTTGCACCAGACGCCCCAACGCAGGTGCGAGGGGCCGGCAGACAGCCAAGCCCGGCCCGGCCCGGCGCACCGCGCCCGCGATCAGCCCTCTGCGCGCAGGCCCACCTCTTCATCTGCCAGCCCGCCAAACGGCTTGCGCCACGTCAGCACCTCGTACATCACAATACCGAAGCTGTACACGTCCGACGCCGCCCCGACCGCGCCGCCCGGCCGCAGCGCCTCGGGCGCCGTCCAGCGCGGCTGGCGCGGCGATATGCTCGCGGCCTCCCGGGCGTCCAGCTGCGCGTGCAGGTCGCAATTGGGGGTCTGGCTGAACAAAGTATCTGCAGGAGTTTCCAATCGACTCTTGCAGCCGCCTGAAACGCTGTGGCCGCCGCGTTTCGAGGTCGGACAGGCGGCTCGCACACGCGCCGGCGGAGCACAACCTCGCTCCTCCCACCCACCCGCGCAGCTCCCGCCCCCTCCCTTCCCTCGAACCCGCCCCGACGGGCCCTCCCCCGCGGCGCACGCACGTGGTCCGCGCCGGCCGCCATCTGTCGGCAGTTCTTGAACGCGCCGACCTTCACGCGGCCGTCGCTGGCGGGGAACAGCGCCGCGCTCCATAGGTTGCCATGGACGTAGCCGCGGTGGTGGACGTGCCTGACGCACGCGCGGTGCGGTGTGTGTGTGTGTGTGTGTGTGCGTGCGTGCATGTGCGTGCTTTTGCTCTTTGGTCA